ACCCAACAAAAGTCATTTGCAAGAAAAAACAAAAAATACAAAAATTAATGTTATATTCAAAGCAGCAAATCGAGCAGCTGCAAGCCGTCTGCCAACAGCGTGTGAATATTCATAAATTGTCACAACTAAATATAAATTTACATTTAAATATATCTATTTTTGCATATGGGTTGTATCGCTTTATGATTATATAAATCGCGGTAAATACATTTGTCGCACAACGCTGTTTCTTTTTTCTTTTGTACCAGTCGTAATTATTGTTGTTGTTGTTGTTGTAACTATTTCATGCATTATTAACAAGGTAAAATGACACAACTTCTGCCTGTCAATCATTATTAAATATGTGTTGATTAATCATTTTGTGGATGTTTTACTCGAATACCGTGGAGAATAGCACAGAGTTGTCAATGGTGGCAGCAACAAATGTTTGTAAGAATGTATGTATATGTAGTTATGTACAAAGCTTGTATGCCTGTGGGACTTTGTGGCTTTTGCACGAAAATTTACATTTGTAAAGCTCACTTGTACTTATAACACATACATACGGATATACATATATAGATGCTTTTCATAGTATTTGCATATGTATGTCAAGAAGTGTGTTTCTGCTTTGCTTTTTAAGGGAGACCTACAGCATGTTTGAGACATGGTGTATTTGGCTTTTGATTGTCAACAATTTGGCGCTAATCAGTGCCATACACACACTCACACATACACAAATTTCATATTTGACATTACAAAGGCAGTGAAAATGTAAAAAACGGGTTATTAGTGAATAATTTTGTGCAAAATTGCCTTGTAGAGATAAAGTTTGATTAAAATTCCCAATTTCAAAGTCAGATGAAAATAAAAATAATTTAAATAATTTTTAATTTCTATTTTTGAAATAATATAAAAACACTAAAAATTTTAATCACAATATTTAATATTAAATTACATTTTCCTATTGGGTTTGTTCGGATCAACTTGTATATATGTGTATCTATACTCATTTTAATTGGCAAAAGCAAATATTTATTTCCTTTTTATTATTGTTGCTGCAATTTCCGCTTAAAAAACATATTAAATTAGTTTACAACTATCATTTGGAGCCTATTCTTTTGGATGTCTAGCATACCTATATACAATTATAGTGCATATTTGTATTTTGGCATATTTTTGGCGCTCTACTTCTCTTTACTCTTGCTCACCTTCACCACTTTCGCGCCCTTTATTATTTGAATTCATTTATTTCTTTGCCTCAGTTGTCACAATTAATTTGATGTGTTGCTTTAACGAAGGTTAAATTAATTACTGCTGAAATATTTATATTGATGGCGTCAGTGATTTAAGCATCTATCAATTCTAATGGGTTGCAATAAATTTGATGAAATTGAATAAAAATTTATGACAATTTATTTTTTTTAATCTTGAATACATATATAATGGTATTCTGCTACATATTTATTTATATGGACCACTTGGTTTTACGTTTTTCTCTACATTTATGTACATATAGGTGTACATACATAAATATGTATTTGCTCATACTAAAGTGGAAAATATGAAAATCTTGATTGGTTTAAAAAAGAAAAGTAATTCTTTAAAATATCTTTTTATTTTTTTTTATTTTACTTATTAAGGTTTTTATATTTTAATTTAACATACTTTATCTTATTGAATTTTAACATTACTCTATGTTATTTTATTTTTCTTTTAATTCAGTTAATAGATTTATCAAATGTATTTAGCTTTATAATACATATGTAACTTTATTTTATTACAAATAATTTTATTTTACGTTATTTCGTTTTACTTTAATTTACTTTTTTTCGTTCTACTTTTGGTTTAGTATATTTTATTTCAATTACTTATTTAAACTTATTTCAATTTGTGACATTATTTTATTTAATTTCATTCAGTTTTATATTGCTTAATTTTGTTTTGTTTTACTTTATTTTATTTCATTTCATTTTATTTTATTTTATTTTATTTTATTTTATTTTATTTTATTTTATTTTATTATTTTTATATTTTTTGTTTATTTAATTATATATATTTCAACTTTATTATTTCAATTTATTTCGTATTATTTCACAATAATATTTTTATCTTATATTATTAGTATTAATTTAATTAAGTTTTATTTTATTTGTTTTTGTTTTATTTTAATGTATTTTTTATGTTGTTTTTATTTTATTTTACTTTTTTAATTTTAATATATTTTATTTTACTCTTCGTTATTTTCACTCCATCAATACAAATTCATTTTCATTAGCAATTTACTCTGACATAAAAAAGATTTCACGGTAAATCAAAATTGGTAATAAATTAAGATATATTTATTATGTAAAATTAAACTAATGAAGAAATGTGCGAAAATCCCAAACTAATACCTTACAATCATAGCTTTTACCGTGTATCACCAGATGTGCGTCGTTGTAATGCTTTGCTTACTTCGAAACAACTTTTCTCCAAAAAATAAAACCAAAAAAAAACACGCAATTAGCCTTAACACGTACGGCAAATAAATAACTTCAGCTCGGTGGCGTTGACAGCAAAGCGAAATAAATGAAAAATTGCCAAAATGCCTGGCATATGACATGGGCATAATTTGCGGAGTGAAGTTTTAATGGTGGCTGCACCTGGCCACCACAGTATCTGAGTGGTCAGAAAATGTACTAGTTTATTATCTTATTTGTCTAAGACATTTTATAAAAATTGCCATTTCTTTTTTATTATTTTTTTTATTATACATTTATTTCTTTAAGTGTTTTTTAGCAAAACAAATTGTTCTAGTTCAAAATTAAACCAATTACAATTATTATTTGACGAGTTGGAACTATCATGAGACTAGTATATTTTTGTTGAAATTTCAACCATTGCTAATTCGTAATAAAAAAAAATCACCGTTTTTACGGAAAGCAGACAGTTGGCTAACTAGTTTCTATAGCTTGCAGACTAGTTACAGAGCAGTTGTTAACTAATTAATTTTGACTACGATTTAAAAATATACATTTGCATATAAAAATATTTAAGTATATACATACATATATATTTGTGTAGTGTGGCAACAAATCAACGAAATTATTTTGCATTGCTGCGTTAACCAACTTGCAGCAGCATCAAAACAGGTTCCAACAACAACAAGTTAGCATACATAAATCTGCATGACAACAGCAACAAAAACAACATCAACTAGATATCGCTCCTCTGCTCCAATACACATGTTTAGATATTTTTGTAAATTTTTCAATTTTTTTTTGGTCGTCGCGTCCATTAAAGCTGTCAATTGCCAACAACAACAGCAAAAATAGCAACAGAAATATTTAACGACATATGTTTGTATGTATGCTTGTAAGTAATGCGAATATGATACTTGTAACAGTCGAAATTTAGTAAATAAATGCCATAGAGAACAAAATGTCGAAAAAGAAGTAAGACAATACAGCAGTGGTCAGTGAAATGTGTATGGTTGCATAGAAGTGAGGTTAGTTTTTTTTGGGTTATAGTATGTGATACCTACTTGAAAATTTTTGGGGAGATTTAATTTGCAAACAAGTAAAATAATCAAATAAAAGTTGGTTCAAAAGATTTGGGACAGGAAGAAATAATCGACGTGGAACGTGAATAACAAATAAAAATATTTTGCCCTCAGAAGAGGAAAAGATTATTTCCAAGTGATTTTAGTCCGGTAAACCCGATCTCTAGGATGCTTTGTCAACGTCGACTCATCGGATATTTTCATAGTATGTACTTCTTTACGCAGCATACATATAGACGAGTACGACGAAAGAAATGCAGAGTTTTGTCCTTTGTACATCGAGAGTGGGCTTTACTTTTCAACAGCCTACTCAGCTTTAAGTGGCGGCTGTTGGAATTTGAAGCCCCATGTAGCTTGCTCTTTTTCTAACAAATGGATGAACATATGGTTTTAGACCGTCGGTTGTTGGGTACGCCTGCTGCCTTCTCAGCTACTGCCACAATTTGGTATCTGCTATACACTCAAGGGTCTAGGGAGCTAGTTTTGTAAGATGCTACTGAGTAGGGACGTGGATTGCCCAATACTCGAGAGAAATATATCTATTGGAAGTCATATTTTTTGCTTTTTCTCTATTTCAATATGCATGACTGTGCATTAAAAGACCGAAACACAATCAAATTACAAATACCAAGGAGTCAACAACATTTTTCTTCTCGCCACCGTCGATGCCTGTGCGTAGCGAGAGTATTTGCTATAACAAATATTTGACAGGCGTTACGCATAGCAGCTACCTTAACTACACCTTTATAATTTTCTATATGCCACTTCACCAACACACACACACAAACTCGTAAATATACAATACAAAAATACAACAATGAGTGCCTTATTGAGAGTGCATTTTTTTAGCATTTTTTATTACACATTGTTTGACTCTTTTGTACGTTGGTAGCCGGGCCGTTGTACGGCGGCAAGCACGTCTCGCATTAAATAAATTCCAATTAAGTTATGAACATGCACAGCGCAACGCGCGTCTCTTCACTGGTCGCCGTGTGTGGAGGAAGTCGATTTCTATGGTGCGACACGGCACGCAAATGTTTTTTGTTAGCGCCGCTGCGGAGGCCGCCACAAATTGTTGCCCATAACCGAAGTCACACGGCTACCAAGCAGCGAGTCAACTACCTGCCGCAGCCGTCATTACAAAGCTACATGCCACTTTTTGCAGTCTCTCTCCTTTGCTGTGCTTCAAGTGTTTATTGCTTTTTATTATTATACTATTTTACTGTTTTCTTTTTTTTCAGTTTTTTTATTTCTTTTTCTTTTTTTCCAATTTATTATAATTTTTGTCTTAAAAACAATTTTTTTACACACAATTTTTGTGTTACGCACGTCTCACTGCTCTTTTTTACTACTCATTTTTTTATTTATTTTTTTGTTGTAATTCTCATTCCATTTTCATTTAATTTTTTTATTTTCTTTTCCAGCCTCCTCTGTTTTTATTTTTATTTTTTTTTATTTATATTTATTTTTTGTTTTTTTTGCGAAATATTTGTTTTTATGCCTACAAATAAATAATTTATTAGTTCACACCGTTGGTTCGCTATTCGCCGTTCGTTTGCTTCATGCGTTGCAATTAAAAGTTGTCGAAATTCCAGTCACGTAACAATTTAAATTCGTTTTAACAGTAACGCGTAAGGCGTAGAAGGAATTGCATGGCAGGGCATACGAATGGAGTCGAGACTATGAATGCATAAAAGTACATGTAAGTGTGAGCAAAAATAAAAAGCACAAAAATTGCCTCAGCGATCTCAGCTGTATTTGCGTGCGCATGTAATATATATTATATATATATCTATATATATATCTGTCGTCAGAATGCGAAATTCGATTTAATAGACGCCTTTAAAGGCGTAGCACTGACTCGCCAAAATCAGTTTAGGAGAGAGAATCAAAGAGAACTCAAACTAATTGTGAAAAATTTGTTTCTTTACCAGCGACTCGACAGCAGATAGATCGCTCGGTAGCAAGATTTTTGTATTAATTTATAGAATAAAATAAAATTTAAGCTATGGGGATTACGTCCAACGTTGCTGATACTTAGATACCTGACTGCCACATTTAAACTAATCTAATATCATCATTTGCAGCATTTTTTCTGTGTCCTCTTGGTGGCCACTACACTCTGTCTGGTCGAGAAAGACATACAGACCAAATATATTGAGTCAGCGCCAGATAACTCCAGTTAATTATTGCACAATTCAACTTCGGATCCTTGGCACGGTGTCAGGTATGCTAAAATATGATGACAGTACTGAATCAAATTATCTGCATAGATCAAAGGATAATTCATTAAATGGTACAATTCGGCTTAGACGACTCTTCGAAAAATATCAAAGTTGTGTACTCACTCAATATGCGCTTTCCGCTCACCAAATAGGACAGAACTTGTTTTCTTTACGGTCCCAACTATAAAACCAAGTAGTATGAATGATGCTCATGGAAGCCTGAGAACCAAAACCAACTTTTTAAATATAATTCTGGAGGTAAGATGAAACTTAAGCAATAACATAGATAGCTCAATGCCACTAGAATGTTATGTAGATGATATATAAAGAGCATAAAACAGAGTGTCTGTTCTTAGGAAAGACCTTCATAAGGTAAGACCCAAACTCCCTTGGTGTACTGAGGACGGCATGTATTGACAGAAATATCAAATGACACTGCAAGCCGACCTCATATAGGGAGGGGATTCACAAGTCGGCAGCACTAACCTTTTTATTAACTATTTTAATAGGAAGCACTAACCGCTGTGATTCAATATCGGTGACCCACAAAAGGCTCAAGACACAAAACTCCCTAACAAATTTTAAAAGATCTATAAAGTTTATGCTCCAAACGGTATGACGAACGAAAGATGTTTGAAGCTTGAATAGAGAGGAAAGTTGGGTGTGTTTTCTCGCAAAACCCATTGCTATTATGGAGTCCGCAGAGTATGGTGAAGCAGAACTAAGCCATGGGAATATCTTCATCCCTAGTAATATTGACAAATAATTTCGACAACAGGAATTTCGGCTTTAGCGTGTGAGTACCAATCAGGTCCGACTTACACATGTTACAGTTTCCCTGATGGGCGTTATAAGAAGTATCAGTTCATTGAAATTAAATCCAAACTGATTTTTCTCAAAAATTTATCGGAAAAAATAATGATTTTTAAGGAAATTCTAAAATCTGATTGAATAATATAAAAAAGAGCCGTTGATAGCCGGTTCTCCCAAGAAACATTCCGTATATCTATCAAAGCGGAAATTCCTACTACCTTCAAAAACCCTATGTCACTTAGTCTACTGGAGTAAGGCGAATAATAATGACTTTGTAGAGCCCAAATGCCAGATATCGATATTCTTGCGCTCGGCAATGAGAACACCTCGACCCAAAAAAAATCGTTTTTCTCTAGCTTTAAATCAATATATGTACATACATATGCGCCGCACACTACATTCATCGAGTTCTACCTAATAAGCGCCATATTTTGCTTCCATATTCCTTGTACTCGCCACCACACATATGCTCCAGCTGGTATTCCTCAATCAGAGCGCATAAGCCTCTCATCAATAATAATGATGATACTGTTGAGTATTGCTACTGGCTGTTAAATCGTCGCCGGTGCATATGAGAATAAACTCAATTGATATCTAACAGATACTCTTCATTTGTACGTGAAATAATAAAACTGAATAGTCAAAGCGACGCAGACACAGAGGGAAGTAAGATTAAGTGGATAGGCCAGTAGCGGGCAATAAAAAAATCAACAAACTATTACAGCAGCCATGAATTTCAAAGTAAATTGCTATATTTTCAAAAGTTGATATTTCCACAAGTTTTTTCACCTTTTTTCTGCTGCCTGGCGTGCAGATATTATGGCCGCCCGGCGTCAATACAAACCGGCAATGTGTGCATTTGTTAAGCGTACAGGTGTGAGTTCAGCTTGTCTGTGACAAGTTAGTTATACGCCGGTTTGGAGTTAAATAAAAAGATACATATCTCGCACGCGGAAACTCATTTCTTTGGCATTTTATTGTCAGTTGCAAGGCATATATATGTATATATTGTACATATTTTTTTACTATCAAATTGTGGAATGTGACATAGATATGTTGATGATGATTGCACAGGTCTATGTGATAAATATTATATAGTTAACTACAAACAAAGATACGTATAGGAACATATACATATGAAAATGTACATAACGCAGATACCTACATAACTATATTGGTTACGGATAATCTGCACTTTCTGTCGTGTACATATGTTTGAATGATGCCAGCAATGTCGTTAACTGTTGACTGAATATAAATTCTATTTTGCGTTATTTTATTTTATTTTATTTTATTTTATTTTATTTTATTTTATTTTATTTTATTTTATTTTATTTTATTTTATTTTATTTTATTTTATTTTATTTTATTTTATTTTATTTTATTTTATTTTATTTTATTTTATTTTATTTTATTTTATTTTATTTTATTTTATTTTATTTTATTTTATTTTATTTTATTTTATTTTATTTTATTTTATTTTATTTTATTTTATTTTATTTTATTTTATTTTATTTTATTTTATTTTATTTTATTTTATTTTATTTTATTTTATTTTATTTTATTTTATTTTATTTTATTTTATTTTATTTTATTTTATTTTATTTTATTTTATTTTATTTTATTTTATTTTATTTTATTTTATTTTATTTTATTTTATTTTATTTTATTTTATTTTATTTTATTTTATTTTATTTTATTTTATTTTATTTTATTTTATTTTATTTTATTTTATTTTATTTTATTTTATTTTATTTTATTTTATTTTATTTTATTTTATTTTATTTTATTTTATTTTATTTTATTTTATTTTATTTTATTTTATTTTATTTTATTTTATTTTATTTTATTTTATTTTATTTTATTTTATTTTATTTTATTTTATTTTATTTTATTTTATTTTATTTTATTTTATTTTATTTTATTTTATTTTATTTTATTTTATTTTATTTTATTTTATTTTATTTTATTTTATTTTATTTTATTTTATTTTATTTTATTTTATTTTATATTATTTTATTTTATCTTATGTTATTTTATTTTATTTTATTTTATATTATTTCATTTTATTTTATTTCATTTTATTATATATTATATTAAGTATTTATTTAATTTATTTTCAATTTTTTAAAATGTATTAAAGTTTTTTACATTTGATATGTGTGGCACACAGCCTTAGTTGATCTGCAGTTTTCTGCTTTAACGTTCGTTCAGTGCTAAACGTCAAAAGAATGAAATAAGTTAAATTCAATGCGATATGCGTGCCTCTGGGCAAATATATATTTATGCATAAGCTTGTGTATAAGTAATTCATAAAACTTCTCATACCTGCTGTCGTGCCTTAGGGGCACCTGCACGACATCAATCGCCGCTACATTAGCCATCTGGGTGGCTAAGAGCGCCGAGTCAAGTGCCACACACATGCAGAAGTTGCAAAGTTGCAAATGGAAAAAGGAATTGAAAAAACAAAAACTTTTAGCAAACCAAATCTAAGTAACTGGCAGATATTGTGTTGGCACAAAAGAAAAATAAAAACCCAGAAAAGAGTAATGTGAGAAACAGTGGCGTAACTCTTCACGTTTTAAAAAGGATATTTGCATATATCAAATGAGCAGTTCGGCTGTCGTTAGCAATGCAATATAAATTATAATTTGTTTTGAGCCGTGACGTACTTTTCTTCAAAATTAATTTTCCATTTATTCCGATTTTTTTCCGATTTATTTGGTTACTGAGAAGAAATTCAAGCTCCTTTTTATAACTCTGCAAAGTCAGTAAAACAACATTCAGTAGAAGCATTATTTTTAACCAATTCAAGTAATGTCAACGCTCGACTCCTCTTCTAACCACGACACTGGTGTTCACATTTCGATTCTGCTGTCACCTGCGCTTAAGTAAAAATAAAAATAGTTGTTTGCTGAAAAAACGTATTGCAATGATTTGCAACCTGTTAGCAAAATGTGCAACATGTGCAACAGAGACACCACAACAACGGCAACTAAGTGTGTTGCGTCTATTTTATGCAAATTTTTATTTTGTTTATTCTTTTATTCGCTATTTTCTTATGCCTGCGGCACTCTAGCACTCAACAACGGAACTAGCATTGCCGCATTTGGTAGTAGAAGCAATGAGCAAAATTTCCGGCGTGACCACATATCAAATTCGTGTCACATTGACAGTTTGGTAGCGGCGGCATATAGTGAGAGATATGCTTAAGTGTACAGTGCATTTATGTAGGCATGGTTTATATGTATATGCCGTGAATAAATATGCAAGCTAATGCCATGTTGCACAAGTGTGTCTTTTGTTGCAAGCACTGGTTGGCTTTGTGGCTGTTGTAGCGGTTTTTCCATACCTTATTTATATAATTTTGTTTTTTTTTTACGTTTGAATATTTTGCTTTGTCAATATTTTTTCTTTTTACATTTACTCGAGTGATTTTCTTATCTTGACACATTGACGTTGCGCAAAATTATTATGCGTGGCTTATGCATGTATTTTTTCACATTCATACATACATAAGTATTTCTTTTATTGCTGTTGCTGGCATTGAGAGATGAATCAAAAAATCAATCAACTTTCGACTGTTGCATACCAAAAGTGCATTGAAGTGGCAAAGAAACCGCAGACTTATTTGAAAGAAAATAATTTCCAATAAAACGAAATAAAAAAAAAAAATTATATGTATCATAATTAAAAAACTTACAATAAAGTGATACATAGTAAAATAAACAACATACCATAAAATAATGTTAAGATAATAAAATAAAACGAAATAAAATTTAAAAATATTAAGGAATATGACAAAAATGAATGAACGGAAATAAAATTACACAAAAACAAATTTAGCTAAGAAAGGGTACTTGAATAAAGCACAACAAAAACTAAAATAAAATAAAAAATAAAAAAGAAAATCTAGAACACTAAAAAAAGATAAAATAAAATATGTAGAATTAAGAAAATATAAAAAAAAATAAAAATCTTAATGAAGAAAGATAAAATGAACTGAAAAAATAGAAAATAAAATAATAGAGCGTAAAAATAATATGAAATATTACTAAATTTAAATAAAATAAAATAAAATAAAATAAAATAAAAAAAAATAAAATAAAATAAAATAAAATAAAATTCTTTTAAAAAAGAATAGTTTAGTAAAAACTAAAATGGTTTAATTTAGTAAAAATTCAAAATAAAATAAATTTTAAATTATAAATAGAATAGCATAAAATATAAATAAATAGATACTGTATTTATGTCATAATTTTCAACTTACCACCACTTTTTCACTGAAACCGCATCTGTAAAGAAAGTAAAAATTAAAGTTTAAATATATTTTTTATTAGAGCAAATTATAAACATTTTAGTGAAATTTATTTTGTGCTTAAGTTATTTCCCTGAAGGTTTGGAAGTACACAAAAAACGTATGTTATCTATTACTCATAATTTCTCATCTCCATATTCCAAAACCTGTTTTTTTAATTACTTATTTTCGACAAATGCATTGCTTTGACTTCATGAAAAAAATATAACAAAATAAGATTTTCACAAAAATCTACACAAAAATGAGCTCACCACAGTAAACAGCACCTGCGATGATTTCATTTTAAAATTATAAAAAACTTACTTAAAAAATTTAATGACCACATTTACCTATCGACGCAAATCATTTAATATTTATTTTCTAAAAAAAAATAGTAAACGAAAAATAAAGAAATTGCAACACAATTTATGTCAAAAGTTATAAACTTTATGAGCAAGAAATTTGCATAGAAAATAAATACATTCGGAGATTTGCGGTTTTGACAAGCCTTTAAAATTAACATTCAAAAGCACACAAATACATAAATTTAAATGCACAAAATTCCAAATAAAACAACACACTAATTTATAATGCCCTGCTAATGAAGTATGAGTTGTGTGGGGTTAAGGCGAAAGCCGAGGCTGAGACAGATTTTGTCGTTTTGCAAAAGCTTTTGCAAAGCCAAATCTAATGCCAGCTGCAGTATTTCAAGTTTTGTGTAAAATTCTTTGAATGCAACAACACCGTGAACAACAAAAATGCATAAATGCAAGCATAAATGTGTATGTATGTACAAAATTTAATTATTAGTTAAGTCATTCAAGTTGAAATCTGCAAATGCAACATAACACCAGCAGATTTGCATTGAATTAAGTTTTGTTTTGACAGGCTTAACCGTAGTCTTAGGATTATTTCAACGACTTAATTTTAACGCAATAGACTTTCAGTCATGCATTAAAATTTTCTAATGCCAACCGAGTAATTATTCAAGCGAAATTTCAGTTTTCAAATACCGTTAAAAACAAATGCCCAACAAAAATGCTATTTCAAAGGCATTGCAATTAGGCAAATATCAACAGAATGCCAATGAGTGCATGGATGTGTGAGTGACTGAATGAGTGAACAAGTGTGTGTGCGTGTGCGTGTGTGTGTGCGATTGACCTGCAATTGAAGCTGCATTTACCTATGCTTTTGAAGGCAAACAAAATACACACTCATATACTCGGTACATACTCACACTAGAATGAATGTTTGTGCGTATGAACTTTCATTAGCATGCCTTTGAAGCTTTTTGTATTTTTTTTTTTTGTACTCACTTTTGAAATGGAAAATTGAAATGCATTTTCACCTGCTGTTAAATGCTTTTAGTTGGCATTATTTGTTTATTTGCTTGCCTATTTGGCCATTTGCATATGTAAACAATGCCACTAACTGTATATTTGTTCTATTTGCATTATATATACTCGCACATATATGCAGTTGCGTGTGTGTGCGTTGTTTAACCTAAACATTGTGTAAACAAAATTTGTGGCACATTACAATTTAAATTAGCTCTCAAGCGTAAAATACCTTGACAAAATTTGTATGCTTGTATGCAAGGAATTAGCCAAAATGCAGTATAAACAATATCCAATATGCAGTGTGCTGTAAAATAATTTTAAAAAAATTAAATGAAATAAAAAAGCTCTTCGAAAAGGAGGGGAAAATTTGTTGGGATTTTCTTTAATTCTAAAAAAAAAATCTCATTTAATTTATAAGCGAAAGAGCCCTATAGAGTGTCCATTTATGTGACTATCCTTCAACCATCAGTTAGATTTGCCTAATTTTTCCTTGCCGGTCGTTTCTACTTCATGCCACCTGTAGACACCAGGTGAGTGTAAAATACTCTCTAGATAATTTCTTCAAAATAGTTGAGGTCTTCTTCCTCTTCGCTTGCTTCTTCTGACGTGTACAATGTTTCCTTTACCTTAGTTTACCAACACAAAGTTTTCGACCATTTCTGTCATAGGTCAGTTCCCTTAATATATCGCGCTCACGCTTGTCGGCCTTTCTCTTTTATCAAACTACAAATGATTTTCCTAATATTTTTGAAAAGGAAGTAGCTCCTCAAATCCTCTTTCTTCTTGTTTTCCAATCAATTTATGAAAACTTTTGGTAAGCACCCTTCGGTGTACCATTTCGCATTTATGGTCTGACCCTTTTCCAGGGGGATAGCAGTTAAGATTTTAGATCGGTGGAGGAAACTGACATCATTACTTTTGATGCTGACTTTTGCTGGGTTTGCTCCTCTTAGGCTTCATACCATGGAAGAGTAATGACTTTACTAAAGTTGCTAGACTGACTAGTTTCGAATTTTTTTTACAAAAAAACCAAAACAAAAGGCACTCAAGCCTCTTTTACTCGTTTAAAATTCATGGTAGTCATAATATACGCGATACAATCAAGGCATTCAAGCCCAATTCATTAGAAATTCCTTCTTGTGTCAATCGTGGGTCTTCGTAAATTTTGGACTCCTCGAGGCTCGTCCTCTACGAAAAAATGTCCGGTCTGCAATTTGGCATTCACTGAAGATTTATATTGGCTGAAAATTACTCAAAAACCTGAAGAGAATCACATGATGAGTTTCTGTTTGAATTGGTAGTGGAATTTCGTGTGACCCATGACCTATGAGCTATCTTGAGATTTCTCGTCTCCACTTTAGCCGATCGTTCTAAAATTTGAATGGAGTACAAGAGGGATTCGGACTTTTTATATTTAACAAAAATAAACTGAAAGTCATTTGGCCTTTGAACTTGCTTTAATACCCTCGTATGTACTCTTAAGCTCTTACCTCGATCACCTTGTACTGCTTATATTTCTGATAAACCAATGTACAACCTAATTTCCCATAACGTACAATTTAATTGGCAACTATCAGCGCTACAATTAAAAATAGCAAATATTTACTAATAAAATACAAAAAATACACCCCTTACCCCACTACACTTTTAGACATTCCCTCCCGACGCTGCTAAGTAAATAAATTCCCGCAGCTAGTGCTATTTCTCAGCATTTTCTGTGGCCTATTTTCATCTGCCACCTACATACATGCATACGCAGACTGAAAAACAAACGGAATTTAATTGCAAAAACCAACAACAAATTATCAGTATTTTATTTAAATACAAGCCAGACGCTGTGGACAACCGGGAATCCTATACGAGACTGTGCGCATTTGTGCATTAACATTAGTTAATTATTTAAATATTAAATGAAAATTGGCTCATCAGTAATGCACGAAAATCCCATTGAACGAATAGAGTAAAGCTGAAAAAACAACAATAATAATAGCGAAAATGCCAATAAGTCTGTGGTCAACAGTGATTGGGCTTTTAGTCAGGCCTAAGCAAGAAGAAAAAGGACAGCAAATGAGTAGCAACCAACAGTAAATGCTGCACGTAGAACTTGTAAGTGGGTGGTGAGTACGAAGTTGGCTGCTGTTTTCGGACTGGCCTGTCAGTCGTTAGGCAAGTGAGACGTGTGAGGAATGTGCGCACATTAAAAGGGTCGGTCGATCGTCTGCTCAAATATTTATAGAGTAAAGTGCAAAGAGTTGGAGATTCCGACATATTTACTCAAACCGATTGACAGAGAGTGCGCTGCTAAATGCTAACAAGACCCAAATATGTTGGATGTTTTTTTCTTTTTTTATTGTTGTTGTATATAATTAGTTGCCTGTTAAGTACACATTAGATAAATGCTATGGAAATAAATCAAAAAGCTGACAACAAAACCAACAACAACACGAAACAAAATGATGCGCAGCTGACGACGAGCATCAGCATAAAGGTCTGTAAATAATCATACATACATGCTTACACATAAATGTATGGAAAATTGGAAAAACATGTAATCAATATGAATGAGCAGAGCTCTACAAAATCGTCTGGTGGGGTTTGAAGCGTGAGGTGGGGAATCACATATTAATAATGAGCTTCATGAGTGATAGCCATATAGACGCTACGGCAAAATTTCGTCGATTTTACCGTCTGCCGATTGTTGGGCTAAGTTAGGGTGGCTATGTACATATGTATCTACTGACTATTAGTCTGACTCTAGAGATTGCATGTTGTTGTTATTGTTTACATAGCGGCACTATCACTAGCAGACTTCAAAGTGAATATTTACTCAACCCAGTTTTGAGGTGACCTAAGCATGGGTGGCATATATGTATACGCATTTATGTACACATATTTGATTGTATTGCATATGTACGTACTACTACTCGCAGTTCTTGCTGTTGTTGGGTGGTAAGCAGAGTAGATGCATGGATTAGAAGATTTCATTTTTGATTACTGATAAATAAATATAAGAAAACAAAGCAATATGTTTTATCGGCCACTTTGAAATGTATTAAATTCGTGTTTCTTTCAAAGTCTAAAAGGTTTTTTTTGTTAAAATCTATTCCACAAAAATAAATACACGTTCTGTTTCCAATATTTGTTGGTTAATATTTTTAATTCAGCATTACTGATTATTTTGTTTAATTTTAATTTGGAAAAACATTTAAAATGTTCTTAATATTTTTAGTTCATCAACTATTTTATTGTACAATTTTTAATTTTTATTTAAATAAATTTTTCATAATGTAACAAAATCTCAATGATTCTGGTATTTTTTTTTTTAATTATTTTTTTAATTATAATTAACAAAATTTTTAATTTTTAATGTACATTTTGAATACATTTTTCAAAATTTCGGTTGTTTCAAATGGTTTTAATTTATTTTTATTTATTAGTTATCCAATATATAATATAATTAATTTAATTATTGAAAATCTACAGTTAAATGCGAAATTATTATTTGTTTTTAAAAACTGTTAAAAGTAAAACAATAATTAAATTGGTTATTTTTAAATTCTTCTTTATACATACAATTTTTACTAATTTTTCCAAAAAAAAAAATCTTCTCTAAAATTTTGAATAAAAAAATTTGTTTTGGATAATTTTTTTATTTTTCATTAGATAATTAATTATTAAATAAATTAAATAAATCTAAATTATTTATCTATCAAAATTTGTTTAAAATTAATTATTATTATTTGAATACAAAAATTTAAGTTAAGTTAAGTTTTATTAATTAAATTAAATTGAATAATAAAAAAAAATAAAACATAATGGAATAAAAGAAAAAAATAAAAAATTAAAAAAAAAACATATTAATTCATGAATGAAATTTAATAATTAATTAAAAGTTAAATTCTAGACTTGTGGTTAAAATAATCGCTATAAGGAGCCTAGAAAATATAAGGAAGTAAGGCCATAGTTTAGAAAAAAGTTGTAGCTGCATTGAGTAAACATAAGTACATATTCTCATATGCTTGTTTTTACACACATATGTATGTGGTTAAATATAACCAAGATATATATGTATATGCAATATATACATTTTTCATCATGTTTGCTTGTGCACTTGCATTATGTTGATTTAACCTAAATAATTTTTCAACCAAGCAAATATTTAATAAACAAACTAGCAAACAAATCAGCTCGACAGAAAATCAATATTCACAGAGAAAAAATAAAATGAAAAATACCGTCATCGATACACCATAACCTGGGCTGTTGTATACCCGTACTGCAAGTGCATGGCTGCTGCAAGTATATGACTGCTGCAAGTGATAGTACCGTGTTAGACTTCAGGCACGTGATGTATTGGTTATTCATTGCATATAAATGAGTCTGTTTAATTTTGAAGTCAAAAAATATTCTCTAGGAAATCAAATGTCTAAGGTTTTGATGGTTTATTTAAATTAATTCAATTTAATTTTACTTCATATTGCTTTATGATATTTTATTACATTTAATTTAATTTCAATTTCTTTCATGCATTTTATTGTATTTTAAGAAATTTTAAAATAATATGCTTTATTTAATTCATTTTAATGTATACCATTTTATTTTACTTTTTTATTTTATTTTATTCATTACATTTAATTTTATGGTATTTTAATTTATTATGCCTTATTTTATTTTATTCTATTTGATTTGTTCATTTTATTTTATTTCACTTACTTTTAGTTATTTGATTTTATTTTATTTAGTTTAATCTGAGTTTTTTCTACATTTCAGTTTATTTTCTTTTGTTACATTATATATTTTTTTTATTTCATTTAAATTTGTTTACTTAACTTTATTTTATGTTATTTATTTTATTGATTACTTGAATTTATTTTATTTTATATTATTTGATTTTGTTTTACTTTATTTTATTTTATTTTATTTTGTATATTTTAAATTTTTTATTTAATTTTTTTTTTATGTTTTTAATATTATATGATATTTTTTCAATGTACTGTATTGTTTTTATTAAATTTTCTTTATTGTTTTGCTTTTAATTTTTTTACATGTTGTTGTTGTTTTATTATATTTTATTTTATTTTTTCTTATCATATTATTTATTTTCATCGCTTTGGATTTTATTGTAGTATATTAAAGTTTCTTAAATGTTATTTCAGTTAATTTATAATAATTTATTTATTTTATTTTATATCATTTTATTTAATTATACTTTTCTTTTCTATTTTAATTTAATTATTGATTTTTTATTTCATTTTATTATGTATTAATTTAATTTAATTTATTTTTTTTTTCTTATTTTATTTATTATATTGTTTTCATTTTTTATTTTATTGCTTTTTTAATATTATTTCATTTTATTCGATTTGATTTCATTTTATTTTATTTTTTTTTTTTCATTTTATTTTATTTTATTTTATTTTATTTTAATTTATTTTATTTTATTTTATTTTATTTTATTTTATTTTATTTTATTTTATTTTATTTTATTTTATTTTATTTTATTTTATTTTATTTTATTTTATTTTATTGTATTTTAATTGTTTAATATAAAAGTTTATTTTATTTTCTTTTACTCTATATTATTTTATATATTTATTTCATTGCTTCTTATTCACAAAATTTTTTTTTAGTTTATTGTATGAGAGAACACGAACAATTAGCTGCTTTGTCTTCCCGTCCGAAATGTCTCCATTTCTATGAACCTCATTGTTCACACCAATTATTTAATTACTCTACCAACAACCGATGTCCATTTAATGAAAATATTGACCTCACAATTCTACAGCACAACTATAAATCACGGTAATTTTTTGTACGCTAAATGAATTGAGAGGTTTATTATACGTTTTGCTAAAGCTCAATTTAGTTAATAAGCAGGTTAAAAGGTTTACAACAACTCATTACTAAAGTCGCCAAATAAACAGACTGTTCAACTAAGTAAAGTTCAAAAAACTGAAAATTACGAACATTTTATAAAAATATGTATTTTCATATGTATATATGTAGGAATACTAAATTTAAGCGTAGTGCGTGAGCTTAGCTTAGCAAATAGGCAATGAATGAATGAGCTTTGAACGCGAGAAATTAATTTGGCCAAATAAACACGCAACATTAATTAACGCTACAACGATAATTGTTTGCATGGCTGACACAAACACGCATACATGTACAAATACAAAATAAAAAATACACACTTATAGTAAATATGTATATATAATATAATATTATATTTGTGCAGGCTTGCTAATAGAGTACCAGAAATTATATATATGTATGCATGTATGTTTGTAGGAAGTTTGACCTGAATGAGGCACAAAAGTATGTGCGAAAGAATGACCGAAATCATGTTGCCATTGAGGCTCAACTCGCTAAGCTTAGACTATGAATGAGGTGGATTTTGTGGGGGATTATGAGTAAGCCGGCAGCCGTAGCAAAATTTACAACAACGAAGACACTAACAAGTGGCAAAACAAAGTAAATGGCGAGAACACGAAAAAATTATTTACACACAAGCATATGTATACTCGTATATGTATACAGACGTAATTATGTCTTCATATTTAGGTAAGCAGTAAGTTCTTTATTAGCATTTTTATGCCGAGAGTTGAAGCACCTCTCGTAGTGCCTCAGCAAATATTTACCACCAAATTTTTGTGTGCAGTGACGAGGAAGGAAGCAACTGGGATGTACAAGGTGTGGAAGGATGCGGAAGGGGTAAACTTTTAGGCACGTAAAGTAGGCGGTGACGCGTCATTTTCTCACTAATTGTTTTGGGTAAGTGGAAAGAAAAGGTGAAAATAAATTACTATATTAATCTCATGTAAATACATATGTAGATATGTATGTACGCAGAGATATTAACATATACGCCTCATGTATAGAGCATGCAGTAGAAAATATAATAATATGTAATTAGTCACCCATTTCCCAAACAAAATCATTTTGCACGCGTGTTTAACAGTAAAATTGGTTAAAAGCATCGCATACAGTTGCCAAAAGCTAAGTTCTTAAGGTCATAATAATTTATTCTATATATAATTAGCGCTTATGAAGGTTTCAATACGATTCAATAGAAAAAAGTAGTTGCTTTCTGTTAAAAAAAAAAATAGTAAGTCCGCTTAAGTGCGTCACACAGTCGTCAAATTTATGAATGACGAAGTAAATTGAATTAATGCTAGAAATTTTAGGTTCTCCATATTTTTAAACTGTATATATTACAAAATAATTTTTTTAAACGATTCTAATTTAAGAGCACTGTTAGGCAAAATATAAATTTTCTATGAATATGGTTTTAAGTATACAAACTTTGACAAAATTCCAAAATAAAATAATCAAAAAAAAAAAAATCCGTTTATATGCACTCTGCTTTATAGCACATAACCGCTTAAAAACACATTAATTGCACTTATGTCATCATTATTAAAATTTGTTTAAAATGTAGAATAAGCTAATAAAAATTATTTGAGCCACGCTTCGTTTAAGTGCCATTGGTTTGAACATTATACGTAATTTAAAATTTTAGTTTTCTGTCAAATCTTGCTAACTAATTTCACGTTTCGGACTGAAATAATCTTTTGTTGGTGAATTTAAAAAATCTGCTTAAATTCCTTACACTTAATTGCACATACAAAGTAATAATTATTAATAAATGATAAATATGAGAATCACTTAAGCGCTTCTAATAAATATGTTTCAAAGCAAAAACCGAAATGCAATCTAGATTTTTGGACTTACGGAAGTGCCACAAAGCATTCCATTTATTTATTTATTACACTTTTATTTCTCTTTTTAAGTACTGTAGCCAATATTGGTTAAGAGCGCAATTTCTTTCATTAGGCGAGTATAATTCCTAAACCTTTTTATGCTTCAAACTTTCGAATGCATTGTTGCTATTATTAAAAAGTGTTTTCCATTATATATATTACGTTTTAACAAACTTCATTTAAGCGCACAACTTTTCATATATGCACAAATATATAAAACAACAAAGTCAAGCGCTATGCATAGGATAAACACTTATTTACTTCCATATTTTATCATACTTCGTGCAGCTTAAAACGTACGAAATACTAAATGTATTTGTTAACTGTTTGCACCCTTAACCCTTAAGAGCGCCACCTTCCTTTTGCAACAACAATTAACAATATCTTGCACATACACCTTTCCTATAATATTTATGTATGTTTACCCCGTCAGTTTGCATTTTAGTATGGCAATAAAGCAAGTTTTGAGTATTTTTCTTTCACCTCATAAAGCAAATAAAAAATGGGAAGGAAAGGTATTTATATGATTCCACGTAGGTAAGGGTTAACTCACAACTTACAACTGTAAATGTGGCTAGAAGCGTAGTACAAATTCCGACGTTGAAGGTAAATATTTGTGTATATTTGTATAGCAAACTGTTAAGTGCTTAAACACGCAAACTAAATGAATAAATTTATAAATTAAGTATATTTTTATATGTAAGAGGAAAAAGTTATACATAAACTAACTACTACTAGGTTCTTAGAAATTTAATTAAGTTACTTATTTAATTATATATCATTTCTTTTATTCTATTCGATTCTATTTTATTTTATTTTATTTTATTTTATTTTATTTTATTTTATTTTATTTTATTTTATTTTATTTTATTTTATTTTATTTTATTTTATTTTATTTTATTTTATTTTATTTTATTTTATTTTATTTTATTTTATATTATTTTATTTTATTTTATTTTATTTTAACTTATTTTATCTTTTTTTATTTTATTTTATTTTTGTTTTTTTATTTTATTTTATTTTACTTTATTTTATATTTTTATTTTATTTTGTTCTTTTTGTTTTATTTTATTTTGATTTTGTTTATTTTGTTGTATTATATGAATATATTTTCGTTTATTTTACTTTATTTCATATTAATTTATTTCGTCTTAATTTATTTAATTTTTTTTAATTATTTCATTTTATTTTATTTTTTTATTTTTCTTAATTTGATTTTATTTTATTTTATTAATTTTTGTTTTATTTTTATAAATTTAATTTAATTTAATTTTATTTTATTTGTTTTATTTTATTTATTCTATTTTGTTGCGAAATCTGACATCAACTTAAGGAATCTGAAGTGGATGCCGCCATCAGCAGGAACTCATAGTGAGCAAGGATGTATATTTATTATACATATGTCGTCGTATAAATCTGTTTTTGTATAAATCTGTTGTACTACAGTGCTTTTAATTAAATATTTAACTTACACATTTGCTGTATGAATAATTCCATATATATTTTGTTCTTCCTTTTTTTGTATTTCCAACAACAAGCATTTCTTCCTGTTCGAATATACAAACACTCATTCTCATTAATGCACAGGTGTGAAAACCATACCGAAAAAAGTGAGAGGGAAACTGGTAATTAAATATTGTATGTATATACTAATACACACGTACATATGTGATTAAGTAAAAGTCTTCTACTACTTTTTTCGCCATACCCTCAGTCATGTCTTCAGGTACAGTATTCATTCATTCATGCGTGTATGCATGAAGTATGTAAGTATCCCCAGCCTTGCGCATGTTCACTTGACACATCCGCAATGTCCTTCCTCATATTTCTTTCACATACAAAATTAATTGGTTTTCCTCGGAACGAGAATAGTTTTCTTGTTTTGGCATGCTTTTGTGGCGCTTTTGTGGCTTAGGCTGAAGCATTAGCTAGATTGCTGACCGCTTTAAGTAACGTTTTTGCTCTTTAGCTGTGAATTTTATGCTTTAATCTGAAAATGTGCTTGCCATGAAGCGAACAAGGAAGGCAAAGTTAGCTAAAATTTTTGTTCCAAGTATTTTGCATCTATACTTACAAACCGAGAAAAATCAATATTAATTACTTGGACAGTTTTCTTTGCTTTAAGGAGAAAATTTTGTTATTTTCTGAGTTTTCTCTTTTATGTTTTTTTCAAGCTCATCAAATATTATCTTTTTTTTTTAATTTTTTTCAAAATCAGCAACTTACTAACTGTGGCCTGAAATTGCTTTAAAAGAAAAAAAAAAACTGCTGCTAAAAATTTGGTTCAAGTCTTCGTTCCAAGGGCACACTCTTAAGTTAACTTATCAGAAAATGAAGTGCAGATACTCTCTGTTAGTTGGTCAGAGAGAAACCAAATAATTATGGGCAAGCTCCCGAGTTTTTACTTTTTCGTCCAAAATTCCTCAGTGCATAGTCTTTTTCATACCTTCAAACTGCAAAAGCAAACTTAACTGAAACCAGGTTAATTATCAGCGATAATTTCTTTGTAAGATGCCAGCCAGCAGAAGAAAAAATCAGCTTCAGGTGTCAGATGTCCTCAATCTTTTAATGAAAAAAAAAGAAAACGTTTCCTCTCTTCTCATTAATCCAACTGACTTCAGTTGATGTCACCTAAAATTTTATACATTTTTTGTGAATTTGCGTTGGTTTGCTCATAAATTTTGTGCTAAGAAATAGTTGTGGAATTCATTGAAGTGAAAACAGAAACTACTCTTATTTCTCTTCAACACTATCAATTTGTGTAATTAAATGTCTACCTACCTATTTGCCTAACATATAATATTAACATATTGTTTCCCAAATCGAATTAATTCGACGATTGCTGCGCTTGATAAAAAACGACAAGTTTTTAACGAAGCTCACGTTCCACAAATATAATAGAATAACTAGTATTCCCCCAAACAATGTGTTCAAAGCATTTAAAACCAATAAATTTCAAAGCTTATCTACAACGCGTGAAAGCTTTCCGAAAGCTAATAGCACGCATACAAGTACAGCTTAGTTGGGCCACAGTGAAAAGTGAAATTAAAAGTGGCTATAAATTCTGTTGCTTATCTGTATCATTTAGATAGAGTTTATACGCTTTTTCTGTAGACACTGCAGATATTTAAATGTTGAAAATTTCAAATTTAAAATATTCTATTGCAATAAAAATAACTTACACTTGATTTTAATTTAGAGCACAAACAAAAATGTCAACTGAAATGAGAATTTATTTTTATAATTGATAAAAAAAGTTTATGTGAATTCAAAATAAATTGACGGTTGATTAGTAGAATTGATAAAAAAAATTACAAAAAAATAATAATATAAAGAAACAATTATAATTAATTATTCCTAATTGAACGCAGGTACATTTTGTTATTTATACACAATAAATAAAAACGCATTTCTAACGAATTTGGTTATTCCAAATATATTTATAATTTTTCATGAGAAATATAAAGTCGAATAAAAAATAACTTAAATCCAAACGTTTGCTACGTTGCAGTAAAAATGTTTATAATTTGAAATGAAATAGAAAAGAGATCAAAAAATAAAATTATAAATAACAATAAATAAATGTAAATAAAATGGGTAGAAGAATTTAATAAAAAACTAGTTTAAATTCAAATTCAAATGCCAGAATTAAATCGAAAAACGCACACAAAACCAGTTTCAAATATGCATAAATATGCTAAAATAATAAATAAATTATTCACAAAACAAGTCAAAAAGAGAAGCATTAAAGTTAAATTTGGAATTAAAGTGGGCATTTGCCATTGTGTGTATACTAAAAAATAAATATGTATATATCTATAGATGCATGTGAGTCAGTTAACTTACAATTCTCAACAACAACTTAGACGGCGCAACGTCTAACAGTGAAGGTTCTTCAGAAATTTATGTGTTTAACAAAAAATCAAAAACAAACAGATATTTGAGCAGACTAAAAATAAAAGATATTATAAATAAAGTAAAAAAAAAATATATTAAAACTAAAAATAGAATAAATTAAATGAAAGTAAAAAAATAACAAATAAAATAAATTAAAATAAAGTCAAATATAATAAAACAATAAAATAAAATTATGTAAACAAGATTAAATCAAATGTAATATATAGATAAAATCAAATAAATTAAGGGAAAGTAACATTAAGTAATGAAATAAAAATTTTAATTGAAAATAGATTTAAATTAAATTAAATTAAAAAAAAAATTAATAAAATGAAACTAAATAAAATACTATAAAAAATGATGTAATATAAAATTGAATAAAAATGAAATGAACTAAATTAAAAAAAAAAAATTAAATAAAAAAAAAATAAAATGAAAAATATAAAATAAAATCAATTTAGAGAAACAAAATTATATAAAAGAAAAAAATCAAAATTTTAATAAAAAATTAAATACTTAAAACAAAATGAAATGAAATTATAAAAAAATGATATAAAATGTAATAAAATAAAATCAAATAAAACAAAATAAAATAAAAATAAAATAAAATAAAATAAAATAAAATAAAATAGAATAAAATAAAATAAAATAAAATAAAATAAAAATAAAATAAAATAAAATAAATNAATTAAAATAAAATAAAATAAAGTAAAATAAAATTAATTAAAAAAATCAAAAACACAAACTCAAGCAAAATAACTTTATATAAATTAACGTAATTAAATAAAGCAATAGAAAATAGAAAATATATATAAATTAAAATAATAAAATAAAATTATCTAATATTAAATAAAAAATTAAATAAAATAAGACAAATTAAAATAAAATAACTTAAAAAATATAAAATAATATTCAGTAAAATAAAGCATATTAAAATAAAATTGAAAAAATTAAATTGAATGTATAAAATGAGATAAAAAAAATTATAAATGTAAACAAAATTAAAGAAAGTCAGGATAAATTAATATAAATTAAAGTAAAAAAATACAATTAGATAAAACAGAATAAAGTTATAAAAAAAAAATTATATATGATAAGAAAAAATAAGATAAAATAATATAAACAAAATATAGCCAAACAAGGTAAAATAATACGAAATAAAGTAAAATGTAATACAATTATATAAAAAAGTAAATTATATTAAATAAATTTGAATACAAAATTTAAAATTAAATTAAATAATTAAAATATAATGAAATTGAATAAATAAAATAAAATGTTTAGAACGAAATAAAATGAAAAATTAAATTAGACAAGCTCAAACAAAAAATTAAAATAATATTATTTTAAAATAAAATATGCTACTGTAAAATAAAATTTAACTGAATTAAGTTAAATAAAATAATTTTGAAATATATAAAAAATAAAATAAAATCACAGAAAGTAAAAAAATAAAATAAATTAAGGAGAAGGAAAATAAAATAAGATAAAAGCCAAAGGTCGTGATAAGCCGATGTACTCTCACAGACTTAGAAACTTAATATAAATTCAAGTTCATTAGAGTGAAGAAGTCTTCTACGCATGAGTAAGGTATGAAAACCAATTAGTAAGTCTTAAATGCATTGTTAGCGCACCAAAAGTATTATTTAATTTTTTCCCCCCATTTATCAGTGCAAAAAATTCCATATGAACACTATTTATGTTCATCCACCAACAATTTAATTATTATTATACACATGATATTTATATTCAAAACCCATAAAATATTCCAAAGTAGTAAATTTCCGCTTTACCTCCGCAAAAAGCTACTGATATTCCCACCAAAGGGAAAACCCCATAAAGCCAACGTCCGGTACACCCACTAAC